TAACCTAATCTTGGGCTCAAGTGAGGGAGATCCTACAACCTCTCTGGGCAATCCCTTCCAGTTTTCGTTCAACTGCACAGTAAGGAAGTTCTTCCTCATGTTCAAGTGGAACTTCCTGTGCATCAGTTTCTTCTGCCCCTTGGCCTCTTGTCCGATTTCCTGGCACCACCGAGCAGAGCCTGGCTCCGTGCTCTTGGCACCCACCCTTAAGTGCTTGTATACCGGTGTGGACAGCTCGGTCGGAGGGTGAAGGGCGGTGGGCGTGGCCGGCCCGGCGGATTCACGCGACTCGTCCAGCTGACCCTACAGCCGTCAGAGCTTCCCATGCCGGGGCCGGCCCGGGCGCCGCTCCCCCCGCAGCGGCTGTGGCGGCGCTTGCGCGCGGGCGGGCGGGGCGCGGCGGGGCCGGTGACGCGCTGCGGTGCGGGCAGGTCCTGCCGCCGCGCATGAGGACGGCGGGGGCGCAGCCCGGAGCCGCCGCCACCGCAAGGCGCCCCCGCTTGAGCGCCGCGGGGTGAGTGGGGCGCTCCCCGCCTACCGCGAAGGTGAAGCCCCGCGGCCGGGCATCGCGGAGCGGGCCGCAGCTGGGCAGGGCCGGAGCCGGGGCTGGGGCTGGGGCTGGGGCGGGGCAGAGCAGAGCAGGGCGGGGCGGAGCTCCTCCGTGCCGGAGCTCCTCCGTGCCGGCTCCCTGTCGCTGCCGGGCGCGTACCTGCCGGAGAGCGGCGGGGCTGCTTGGGCCGTGCGCTGCGTGCTCCCCACCGCGGAGATGGGCGCGGGCCCCACGGTAGGAGCGGTGCCTGTTTTCCGGGCCCGGCGGGGCCGGGTCTGCCCGCGGCGCGCGGTGCAGCCGCACGGAGGCCGGCGCTAGCCGCGGGGCGAGCTGCTCCCTCCGCGCCGCGCCTGCGGGGCCACTGCCGGGCGGCCCTGCTGCGGCAAAGGCTGCAGGGGACCCCCGGCCCTGCCGGCCTCCGAGCGCTGCGGCTCTGTGCCCCGTGCCCCGCCGGAGGGCGAACCCAGCGCAGGCATTGCACGGAAAACACGGCGGTTGGCATAACACTTACCTCATGTACCGTGCGACTCGGCCAGCCCAACGTCTGCCTAACTTAACACTCCGTTTGTAGGGGTTTGTTAACATTTGGGGTTTGGGTTTTCTCCGCCCTCCCCCCCCCCCCCCCCCCCCCCCCCCCCCCCCCCATTTTCGTGCCTTCCCTTGTAGTGGTGGAAATCTGGCATATCGCGTATTTTTCTCTAGGTGTCATTTCAGATGCTCGACAGGGAAGGTCTGAGAAATAGATTGCAGTACCGGGGTGAGGTGTAAACTGTGTCAGTGTAAACTGTTTTCAGGCACTGAGCTTTGTCAGATATTTAGGAATCCAGGGCTGGATGAACTGTTATTATAGATACTTAGATACTTAGAGCAGTAAGCTTTCTATAGTATATAGAGGCGGAGATTGAGTTCCTCTGTGTACCTGTGTAGTGTAAAAACACTATGAAACTTTGTGTAGTCTTGTGGTATGAATGTTGATTTTTGTGTATTTGTTTTTCTGTCATGAGGGAATTAGCTCTCCAAAGAGTGTATTCCCACAAATGCTGTTCGTTTAGAACATGTGTGGATGTTTACAGGTATCTATATGTGCACTTTATAGGTGTATACTGTATAGGTATATATATTTCTTGAAAATCTTCCTTGTTTTGCAGGTAGCTTTCAGTGTGTATTTTGTATAATACCGGGTGACTGAATGCTGCTAATGGGATAGCCCCACCTTCTGGTTAATCCTTCAGTGAAATCATACTTGAGACCGAAGGGTTTTTCTGGAAATTATACCTCGTGCTGTGCATTGTGAGTGCAAGTCTGTGTTGGAATATCTTTTTATTTCTTATTTGGAGGAGTGGCAAGACAATCTCTTTTTATGGAGATGCTTTTATTTACCATCAAAATAATTTTAACACATGACTTCTGATGTTTTGGTTCATTACTGGGATTTTTTTTTTTTTTATGCCAGAATAAATTAAAGGAAACACTTTTTTATTTTAAGATTCAAAAATGTATTTTTATTTTTTTCAGAAAGCGAGGAAATGATCCTAAACCCAGGAGTAGTCTTGGTGTGTGAAGTGACACCTGATCTATGTGTGACATGATACTTGATCTCAGGCTTAACTTTCAGTTTAGGTGTTGGAGGTGACAGTGCTCATATTTTAGGTTTCGTGTTCAAAAAGTTCACAGACCGTCTCCTAAATACAAACTTTTGAACTTGAAAAATATTCAGTTTTCTTGGTAGAACATTTATACTGGTTAGCTTACTGCTGCTTGGAGCAAATTCACTGAAATTGTATGTTAGAAGCTACAATTAAAAGTGAAAAAATCAGGAGAAAGGCTCCCTGAAGTCCTCTTGGTTTATAGGAGGATATTGCTATTTCACCTCATTTTTAGGTTTTAGTTTAGGAAAGATGTTCATCTTGTCACTCAACAACTTGTCAGCAATGTGTCTTATGATTAGAGACTTCACAGTCTTTAAAATTTATGGTGATACTCTGCTAGACATAGCTGGGGATCACCTGTTTTTTTGGCTCTCGGTGTGTTATTTGAAACATCTCCTTGAATTCCTGTATCTGTGAGCTGCTTACTCTTAGGAGATTACTCCTGTGATAAGAATTGCTAATGTCTAAAAGAGCTGAATGCTGCTTGAGTCACCCTGACTCTGGAATATAACTGCAGTAATTGAAGTGTTGAAACTCCTTAAACAACTTAGAGGGGAAGTCAGTTTTCTTGAAGTGGGTGTGAGAGTGCTGAACAGAGCAGCTGCTTATGTGAGTGCGTAGGAGGGATTTATAATGGCAGTGTGTCTCTGAGTATGTTTTCAGGTCCTCACACTATCCACAGCTTAACTGTCTAATATCCTGTGCTAAGCATCAAGAAGATTATGAACTGTCCAGTGTTTGTCCTGGATACATGGATGATTCAGCATGGTTTACGTTTGAAAATACAGTTTTGTAACAGTTAACCATAGAAAGACTGGAAGTAGTGGGGAGGAGGGGAGCATCCCAGCATCCTTCCTCTCTTTTGCAACAGCTGCAGAGGACACGGTCCTGAAACATTCAGTACTCTACAAGACACATATACATTTTTACTACAACTTTTGTAAAACTTAACATTTATGAGAAACAGAATGTTCAGGGTTTTGTATACTGGAGGTAGGTAATACTGTTTTAATTGCTCCCAAGTATAATTCATAAGCAAAACAGTAAAAATTAAGGTTTTGAAAGTGAAAACAGTTGCTGAGATTATTATGGATTGTGGTGATTGTGTTTCTGCACACTAATGAGGTTGAAGGGCTTGAAGTGTATTTGAATAGATAAATCTGCCGGAAAGCACCTGTGACATTTCCCACTGTATTAATGGAGCATTTCCCAGAGCTGGCTAAAGTTACGAGGTTTCCAGTTCTTGTTCAGTTTTTTGGTGTAGGGAAATGTGTAGTTTCTGCTGTGGTTGGTCTTTTCCTTCTGGCTATTTTTATTGCTCCTCTCTCCCTCCCTGTGCCATTCACCTTCTACCTGATGAAAGGGTTATCCTAGTGGGGCGAGAAGTAGCTGACTTTTGCAGTATTTCTGTCAGCTTTGAACATGATACCATGGGATCCTACTGATAGCAAGTTTGTCATATCTTGAAGTAATCCTATGCTTGCAATATCCTATGCCAGCAACTTTCTAGGAGCTTCTTTCCAGGCAAGAAAATAAGTACTGGTTTTTATTTTGCTCTTTTCCTTGCCAATGTTTTCTTTCTTTCGTAATCATTATTGGATATTTACAGCTCTTTTTGGCTACATGTGTCAGGCCTTCTTTTTACAGTTAAGTGAACTGGTCATAATGGCTGCATGACATAGTTGGCAAGCTGCTGTAAAGAACTTTGGTGCTTCAGTCTTCTGTGAAGCTTTATGTATGTCATTTTGAATGTCTGATTATATGTTGCAGTTTACCTAGTCACGTCAAAAAGTCAGCAGTTTGCTATAATGCAGCAGTGGGTGAGCTAATCAGCTGACTTTTGTTCTCTACTATAAATATTTATAGCAAATGGTACAAGGGAAAGGCATAGGTGATTTTCAGAAGTATTTTTTCTTTGACTGGTAAAGGTTGTTAGTCTTTTCATTTTGTTTTGGATATAAAATTAGACTCTTTTTCACCAAAAACGTCGGATTTTTTTTTTCTACTTAGAAGTGCTGGGTAGATTTAGTCATTAAATAAAGGACTATTTTCTACCATTTCCACATAAAGCCTTATAATTACGTCTTGAGGAACAGCATCTCTAGTTTTTCTACTGTCTTGAATGAACTTCTTTTCATAGAAGAAATACTTCTAATATACCTTTAGGAATATTATAATATTTTGATGGCTCTAAAAGTTTTTGGTACTGCTGTATGTTAAAGTATTAGGAAGAAATAACTGTTTAGTGTGTATTCAAAACCATTCTATCCTGTTTTAGAATTTAATTAAAAAAATAACTGGTTCTGAAAATTGTCTCCCTCTTGACTACTGACTAGGACTTTAATTCCTATGAAACTTCCACAAAGTAAGGTTTGTCATGGGGTAGGATGTTTTTTGTTTTCTGTTCTACATGCTTGTAAAAGAAGGTTCCATGAAGGAACTGGGCTAGGAATAGTCAGCTTCAGAAAACAAATTTTCACTACCACATCAGTTATAATTATTTATGTATATGGTTCTGTTTACTAGATTGTGGTTGAGTATGATGTAGTGTTTGCCAACTTGAAACTTAGTTGTGAAGCTTGAAGGATTTCCCCAGGTTTTCAATCATTAGAGTTTTAAGTAGGTTTATAGGTATCCAAAATGTGTATGTATTGTACTTTCAGGATTCAAAGCAGTTTGTATTAATAACTCTGGCATCTCCAAATAGCCTGTGAGATTTTTTTTATCCAACATCAGGTCTCATGTTTTATTAGGGAAATTTTTCACATCCAATAACCTTACTTGTTTATATGGCTTTAAAATAGGGTATGTGAAATGAGATACTATGAAAGGTCAGTTTGCTTCTGGTTTAATCTGCACTGGACTAGGGGAACCCCCTCACAGTACAGAATTTCTTCCTAACATCTAACTTAAACCTTCCATCTTACAGTTTAAAGTTATTGCTTCTTGTCCTATCACTACATGCCCTTGTAAAATGTCCCTTTCCAGCTTTTTTGGAGGCCCCCTCTCGATACTGGAAAGCTACTATAAGGTCTCCCCAGAGCCTTCTCATCTTCATGCTGAACAGTCCCTATTCTCATAGCTTATCTTCGTAGGAGAGTTATTCCATCACTCCAGTCATTTTTATTGTCCTGCTCTGGACTTGCTTCAGGAAGCCCACATCCCAGTTATGTTGGGAGCCCCAGAACTTAGATCAGTAAAATTTCCACTGAATCCTGTTACAATCTCTGACCAGAATTATAACCGCCTTGGAGAGGCTGAGCATGTTGGTGTTCGTCTAAAAAATGTATGTCAACTTAGTGTTAAGGAAGATGGTGTCCTTACAAGTCCTCTCTAGTCTAACAGGCACTCACAGTGATGCCTAATAGTCACGTTCAGATATGAGTGAATGAAATGGTGTAAGTTCGTTTCTTTAGCCATTGTATTGAGCAAAAGAAAATTGCATTGTGATAGTGCTTGCCATTTTGTGCAGTACTTTTGTGGTTAGAATATTTATCCAAGAAGTAGGAGACTGTGTTCCATGTTATTCTGGTATGTTTTGGCAAATGCCACAACTTTATATGAAAGTTAACTGTTGGAGGGGGTATACTCTTTCCTTTTGCATAAACCTCGCCAGTGTCAAAATTTCATAGCATTGAAAAAGTGGATCAGGGAGGAGGTGAGTCAGTGGCTCAGTGACACAGAATTCACCTTGGAGTGAGGCAATTATGTGCTTTTCTAAAGAGAAAGAAAAAGGTGAAAATTATATATAATTTCTTGCAGTCCAGTTAATTTGTTGTACTGTTGATAGCACTATTACAGTGAGTGCAGCTTTCTGATTTGGGACTTCACATGTCTGGAGAAATTTCCCATGAAGACGCTGCCTGTTTCCACTGTGTAGGTGAGAGGATTCACAGGCAATGTGAAAAGGCAGAGGGAGATTAAAGAGAATCGAGCATATACCAGCTTGGAGTTTTAACTGGTCAACACTCCTTTCTCTCCTCTGCTTCCCTTCAACTTGAGGTGCTTTTATTCAGTTGTTGTTGTTCCTTTAAAAGGAGAACTGATGCTAGTTTTTCTTCTGCTCTGCTACCACTGGCAGACAAGTAGTATTTAATTTAAAATGTATGTTTAAATTAGAGATTCATTCACCTTGTGCCTTTACCTTTCTATCAATCCTTTATTCAAAGTAAGGATAATATTAAAAGTTTTAAATTAGTTTGGAAGTTGCTTTTTTGCATTTCCTGGTAAAATGTTAGAGAAACTTTTTTACTTTAGTGTGCATAAATGTTCCACTGCAACTCTATGGATTGCTACTATGTGCATTTTTAAGTATTTTAATTTTTTCCCTACTCCTTCTGCCTGGTGGCTGGTTTTTGTTTTTGTTTTTGTTTTGTTTTTTTTTTGGGGGGGGGTTGTTTTGGTTTTTTTCAGAGGTTCTTGTACTTTTTCTCAGCTGCTTGACTTTCCCCCTTGACCTGGAGCATTAGTAAGCATTTCAGCACTTATTAAATAGTTTAGGGTGAATTTAGACAAACAAATTAGGATCTTGCAGTTCAAGATAGTTCAGCCTAGTAGCTGGCTCCACTTGTACAGCAGTCCAGTACACTATAATATAGAGACAGTCTTGGCACTGGCAGGCCGTTCATCATCTGTGTGACAGTGGGTCAACGCTGCAAGCAAAACAGACCTGGCTACTTGCATTCAAGAGGCTAATATTTTCCTCCCAGTAAGACCTGCAACCTGGTTCAAATAGTCCAGACTTTATAATTCATGAAATTATGTGTATTATGGTGGACACAGCTATTGTCTTGTAACTATTTATTTTCTTTAAAGGATTTCAAGATACTTTACACTTGAAGAGTACTTGGAGAAACCTAGGACACCTGTTAACTTGTATCAAGCTGGAATTCTGGTGAAAAGCTAAGCATTTGCTTCCTGGTTGCCGGGAGAAGATTCTGCTTTCAGGTAAATCTGGAAATAAGCTTGCTTCTTACTTCATCTGCTCTAGGCTTTTACCAATTGCAGTGTGGAATTTACCAGTAATTAGATGCTGAACCATGACGATTTTTGAGAGGTTTTACACATTTTTTTGGGGGGAAGCTAGGATGGGGAGCAGCTCTTGTGTGTAGTTGACTGAGTTTCTCAAAAGAAAAGTGCTTTATCATATTCATTCTTAGCACCCATATCTTTGAACATCCATTTTCCGCTTTGCTCTGTCTTCTACCTTTAAACTAACCACTGTGCTTTTGGAGGATTCTGTTTGTTGTCATAGTGGGAGTATTTGTCATTCATACTAGATCTGAAATGGGTACTGATGTTCAGTTAATGGTCCTGTAGACTACAACCTTGGAGGCACCATTTGAGGAAGTGTTGTGCCCTGAGGACACTACGTCCTTAAATGGATAGGAAAATTGAGTTCTTAGCATGATATGGTTTCTGTCCAGGAAATATATTCAGGTCTTGCTTAAATAAGAACACCAAATACTCCATGTTTCTCACTGTGCCTCTAGTCTTAGTTACTCTATAGATACATGAAATGGTAGTCAGAAGTAAGTACGTTGTGCTATCTTATAACATTGTCCAGTAAGTTTAAAAAAGTGTATTTACTGGCTTCAGCAAAAAATTCCCTTGATAAAATTCCATCATGGACAGGAAAATAATGTCTATTAAGTGACTGATACAAATTTCTGTTCTATTATAATCAGACTTTCTGAGCTTTGGTAAAGCTGAATTATAATGCAGAATCATACTCCATACTTACAATGCAATAGTTTATTTTAAAAGCTGGATCAAATAGTTTGAAGAGAGAAGAGCTTGTGACAGTGTGGAGAAATGTAATTAATGTGAATTAACTTCTTTAGCATTTCTAGCATAGAGACATTCGGTATGGTGGTAGCATTGCATCATTAAAGAATAAAAGATGTTGACAATATGTAGTTGTTTAATGTCTTCCAGGTTATCAGAGATGGCAATTTGAAGAATCATCTTTCCGATATGAACAAAGTAAAAACAACATCTGAAAAAAGGTAAATTTAAAAAACTATAGTGACCTCTCAACATCAAGCTATGTGAGATTTTTGAAAAAAACAGTCTTTATCTTAATAATAAGATAAATAAAATATATGAAGCTGGGACTAGTGTTGGAGAAACTTCCCTTATTATGGGTCCCTTGGAAGACTCTGTAAGTTGATGTCCTGAAACACTGAAGCAGTCAATACTGATAGCGTGAAGTAGCTTCATTAATAAATAACTTTAAGTTTAAATTTTCAGTTAATGTTAGATATGTTCAAATATAAAGTAGACATTAAATTTAATTGAAAAATATGTTAATAATTTCACTGCACATATTGGCAAAGCATAAAATTATCTCTACTGAAGGAATTAAAGAACAAGTTTATAGTACTGTGTAAGAAGCCACGACTTTGTCAGGTGATGTGTATCGTTCTACAACAATCCTGCAATCCAACACATAGCAAGAACAAACAAGGGTGGGATTATAGAAGATGTTGAGTTGAAAAATTGTGTTTGTTATTTTCATATTAACTTGTTTTAGCAAGTATTTGAAAAGTTTATGAGATTATTCCTGGAAGGCTGCTAAGCATCAGGAAACTATTGAAAGGCTTTCAGTCTTTTTCCTAAAATAGCAAAGGTTATACCACCTTGTTAAACCATCTAATCAGATTAAAAAATTATGTACAGGCAGCAAAATATGGAATTTTGGCTTCAGTCTTAGTTCTCTGATGTACCCATTATTTTCTATGTGAGTGGGTGAATTTGCATTAAGAACCTGCTCTACTGTGCATTAGTTTTGCATCTTAGAATCTATTTAAAATTTAAATTTAAATTCTTGTGTGTAGTATCATCTTTGCTTTTGCTGACTAGAACTGGAATGGCTTGATACCAGAGACTGGTTGTTCCTGTTTGTGTGAGGGGTGGATCAAAAGATATAGTAAAGAAACAATTATGTTTTCTCCTTATGATATATTAGCTCCTTAGACATTATGATAAGGAAAGCAAACTCTCTGTTAGCAGTGAGTATTCTTGAAAATACCTCAAATTATAATGCATGAAATATACTGTCACAAAGAATATTAGGTTTTTGTGGAGTGGCCACTTAAGTGCCATTTATTCTTCCTCAGTTATAGATAAAATAAACGTTTCCATCCCTGCAATTCAAAACAGTTGTTCCCTAAGTCTTCAATAAGTTTTGGTGACTCTGTTTACAGAGTCTTAACTAATAAAAAGTATTAGCTCTCTACAGATTATTTGGTAACTGTGGGAAGTGGTTGAGAAAAAAAATTAGTTTGAAATTATTTGCATTGGAAGAAAATCAGAACAAACTCATGAAAAGCCTGCCTATTTTAAAATAGGTTTTTAGAGGCTCACTGGAACATACCAAAATACAGACCTGTTTGCTGTGGGGGAAGAAGAAACTCCCTTATGCATCAGTGTGCTGGCTGACTGCAAACAGCAGTTTCAGAGGAAGTAGGTACAGTTGGGAAACTGATGACATCCTTCATTTGACTATTATATTTTGCAAGGCTTCTTGCAAGATGAATAGCTGAAAACCATGCTAAGATAAGGGAATTTTTATAAGCTGCCTTGGCAGCCATTAAAGTTATTTTTCTCATTTTGAGTAGACACCCAGAAAGCTATGATGATATGTTCTAGCATTTGTGCAGTGAAAGTGGCATCCAGTGAGTAATGGAGTGTTGTGAATCTGGCTCTTCTTCATAATCAGGGTTAGAATGCTTAAATCTTTTGGGAGTGGAAGAAACATCCCTGCAGTGAGGGATCTTTCTTTGAGAAAATTTTTTCTTGTTGAGGGAGTTCTCTTTCAAATATGAGCCTCTGGAGTCCTTTATTCTCACTATCTGGCCATGCATCCTCTATACCTACTTGTAGCTTTCCTAATCAGAGAAGGAGGAAGTCCACAAATCTCTGGTTTCCTCAAGTAATGCTGTAAGCTTTGGCAGCAGTTGAAATGATGGCAAGGGTGTTCAGTGCTTCCCTTCTGCAAGCTAAGTCGTGATGTGAGGGGCATTTTGAGCTGCAGCATTTGAATGTGGGATGAAGGAAGAGTTTCCTGCCTATGGAGACATGAACTGTACAGGATCAAATAAAACTGGTAAACTTTTACCTCAGGATACTTCAAGGAAGTCTAAATCCATCCCAGAATAATAATTATTGGTTGTCTTCGGACAGAGTAAAGCGGTGACTGGCTACTAGACTAGTGGTAGTTGATGGCTGTCAGAAGAAAACAGTGCACAGTTTATTTCTGCATGTGTTCTTTCTTTCGGCTTACAGCTAATGATTGGAAACATTCTGGGTTTTGACTAAAGGTCTGTAACAAAAGGAAGTTCTTGTTAAAAATGCAGACACCTTGAAGCTGGAAAGATCTGTAAAACTACTGGAGGACCGAATAATTTCAAAATACTCTTGTGAAATGCAGAAAATGGTTAAGAATATTTGATGGAAATATGTGCCAGAAATATTAAGATTAAACTTCAGGGAGAAAAACTTTGAAATGAAGTGATACAAAGCATTAGAATGAAATTGTCTTTGGTTATTGAATAATCATTTTTATAGGTCATTAAGGACTGGTTTGGCGTATGTATGCCATGAAGAGCAGCTGTGGTGTTTATCCAGCTCTGAAGAGAATAGTCTTTATGGTGTTATGAAGTTTCTTCTGGTGCTTCTTAGTCAGGATTTTTTAATAACTAAAGATTATAGAGACTGTATGTAACTCTCTGTGGTTACAGAGTGCTCTTGTGAGAAGGCTTTAGAATGGGTGAAGTGAAAAATGCCACTTCTGGTAACAAGAAGGGTTATTCATATTCTGGGAAAACTAGTTTCATCTTGTCTCCTCTGCCCTCCGTGTCAGTGACAAACTCAGGCAGTCAAGGCAACTGGAGACCTGGGTAACCTGCACATTGGTGTGCGAGATCCATTTGGGTCATCACATTCCTTCTGACAGTGGCTTTTGACTGAATTGGAATCGTAGTTAGTCCTTTTCTAGTTTGATGGATGATGACTCCAGTATATATTGGATTCTCCAATCAAAATTCTTGTGACTGGTCTATACTGCGTGCATACCAGTTTGACCCTAGGTTTCCCATGGCAGAGTCTCAGATGTCTCATTTCCCAAAGCAATTTATTCATGGTGCAGCAGCGCAGAAACAGCTCAAGCTGGTGCTTCCAAGGAGGGACCTTGAGCAAAGGAACCCCTCACAGTCTAAGTGCAGGAAAGTCTTGGCTCTTCCTCCTGAGTCTTTGTCTCCTGCTGTGTCTGTCATTGTCAGGTCACCCTGAAAGTCAGGACACAGTCTTCAGGGTGTTCATGCGAGGTTCTGCAGTGTCAGCAGCTTGAGAAAAAGCATAGCTCTGACAAGACACATTTTTTATTGTGCTGTTCTGACTGTTTCCTTGCTGTTAAAAATATTGGATTCCGTGGTGCCTCTCTGTTTTGGAGAACTGTCTTTTAGATTCGGATCCTGAATGGTTTGTTGGTCAAAACATATGTATTTGCATTACAGATATGAGAAAGAGTCTCATTACAAATTAGGCTTTCATTTTGTTCTTAGGTCAAGTAGTTTGTCACAGCAGTATTACTGATTCTGCTCCTGTATGTCTGGCTGGCTGCCATGATTCCTATCCTACAGACTTTTTGATTTACTATGCAGACATCAAAAACTGTCACAGTTTTATAACTACTATGTATATTAGTGTAGAGTATTAATAAATAAGAGTACAAGTCACAGTTTAAGATGAAAAATCAGTCATAACTTAAGAGGAAATCAAGACTTCAATGTATATTTCAGTGTCAGCTGGTGTTAGTTTCAAGGACGCATTACTGGGTATAGTGAAGGCATGAAATTTATTTGGCTATATTTATGTTGGAAGACTTCGTGCAGGATGAATAGCCGAAAACCATTCCAAAGATATCTCTGCTGTAATGAGCACTTATTGCTCTTGATAGAAACTGTGTCCCCAAGTGGAGATTGTAACTCTAAATCTTAAAACTTAAATTGTTATATTACCCAGTACTGAGAATGACTTACCCACCTAACCCTCTTAAAGCGTTTAGTAAGTATGGAGAAACTATGTTAGCTGCCAACTTTTTGTACGTGGTAAATTGTTTACAGGCACCAGTGTTGCTTGAATTTTGCAGTCTGTAGCAGTCAAAAATGTGGTTTACTTTGACATTCTAATGCCTGCACATGAGTTTTATCTTTGCAAAAACTTTTTTTCCCCATTTTTTTTTTATTTTATTCTTCATTCTTTCTAAGGATCAGCTTTACTTTCTTGGCTTGTTTTCAGCTTTCAAACTACATTTATTTCATGGTAAGACCAATGATATACCACAATGGAAATTATACATATACGCACACGTACTGAAGTTGAAGCAACAGTTCTCATACACATTGGCTTATATGTTGTTTGACCGGACTCTTACTTGTTTTGACTGTGGAGCTGATGAAAATAATACCTTGTTTGTCAGTTTGTGTACTGGATCAACAGAGTTTGTGGATTTCATTAAAATCTTGGGTTAATTTTGGAGCATTTCAAATGGATAAATGGAGGAGGAGAAATAAACAAAACAAAGCTTATGCAAATAAAGATACCATTATAACTAAGCTTGCTTTTGGATGATGAGAAAGTATTGGAGTGATTATGCTTTACTTAAACAAGGAAATTAATGTTTCAGCACCCAAGACAGATTTATTTTAGATTAAAAAAATACTCTGAAATCAAAGTCTAGCAAATAACTGAGAAGGTGATATGCTTTCTTCACAATATAAAATTGCTTTGATTTAAGTCTTAACTTAATATAACCATTTCTTATTCTTGTTGTTAACCGCTGCTAAGTATCATCTGTAGTCTGAAATAGATTTTGGCTATGTTTCTCATTTAGATGTCAATATGGAAAAGTGAAAGTGAAAGAAGTTTCCTAAGCATCTCTAATATCAATTTGATTTCTTGACAGTTTAACCTTTGCCCTCAGTTACCATTCTCCCTTGATTTTAACATTTTAGTAGAGTTACTGTAAGTGTGAAACCTTTACACCAATGTAAAATACAAATCAGGGAGTAGTAATAATTCCTCATTGTTTTAAACAAAGCTGACAGTGTTTGTAAAGGTAATGTTGTAGACTTTCGTTTTATTGTGGGGAGTCAGATCAATGTGGGTATAAAATGAATTATTGTTGATTATGGGAGCCCCCGGTGGTC